GCGACGGACGGACGCACGGACGTCGAAGTCTAAAGCAGCCACTGAATAAATGCGATCGTTCAAGCCGCCCCAATGATAAACGCTAGAGACGTCCGTCTCGTCTGAGCGGCGCAGCCTACCCAATTAGGTTAGCACTCACTCCGCCTTGGGTGCCATCATCTACAGCCGGTACAGTCTGTGTACCCTTGCAATGCCCTATATAGGCGTTTGCCGATCTGACACCCCACATGTGGTATACGGGGAGGTCACAGATTCACAGTAGTTGGTTTTTTCAGAAAATATTTGTTATCGTGAACAGTGCCTTTAATGGACTAGGGCGCGAAGGAGCTGAGAGACTTGCCACGCGCTCCGGATATGAAGATACCGTTTTTGGCCATTACCCTCCCTAGAATCATTTTGCCGGCTTCTGTCAACTTTCTCTGTCAGCTTCTGTCAGACCAGGGATTTTTCAACATTTTTTTTTCTGGTTTTTATACTTGTCTATTGCATAGACGATGTTCGAACGTTCAATGATTCACTTTATGACCTTGGCTTGTGTGCGTTCTTTGCTAATGCGTGAAAGTATTCTCTCCTGCTACGTGGTTAATTTTAGCAGTTATGCAGCTTATAACTATCATTTTCAGACGGTTCTCAATTTCACCATTTTTGCCTATTAGGCTTGCCTTTAAGTTATTGTATTTCAGAACTAATCCTGCTACGAATGATACAGCCACAAGCGTACACCGTTGTACCTCTCTCCCAGGTCAATCCCAGGTACGCACTCAGGGGTTGAGATATAAGTGATTGTTGATGTTATGATTTATGCGTTGTTATGTGTATGTTGTACTATACATAATTATCAGCGATTTTCTGCTCGCCAAGATAATTCAGGCCGAATAACATCCAACCAGTTTTTGTTCCGGTGCAGCCGTGGCCAGCTCCAATCGCCGGTGCAGTTCCTGTTGCCGTCCCGGTATGCTTCTTTTCTTCTTCTGCTGAGAAATGTTACACTGGGGAAGCGGTGTGCACAGTACCTGGTCCGGTATTCTTAGCAATTGTTTCATGGAGACTAAGCTATTTTACGTAATAACAGCTAAAACGTTGAAGTACAACATTTTCAAAGTATCATTACATCTAAACTGGCTAGAGTCCCTGGCGTTGTTTTTTTATAAATATTTATTTTTTTTCTTTCCTCTCAGATCTCTGCTGATTCAACGCTGGGGAAATAATGACCCAATGCATAAGACGGTCAGGAAGTGCTGGCGCATCCTCAAGTAGTGTCTTTTACCTACTCTTCTAACTGGGAATCGCTATGCAAGGAGATGACCTAGTTCAGCACAACTACACCTCAGGGGACGCTTGCCGATACCAGACTGAGGTTCAATAGGGGATCCCTTCAAAGTGAAGTCAGACCACCAGTCGTACGGGGGTTAGGTGGCGTCATTTGTCATTTACCGTTCGCAGTGACCAACCATCAACGATCTTGTAGTGTAACATTTCTTTCATTTACCAAACCTAGGCACACTGTTGTAGCAGCACGAAAATATCAATAACGGTAACACCTAACGTCCTACTCTTCCGCTCACATGGGAGTTCTCTTTTCTTCTCTATTCAAGCTGACATTAAACGAGAAGTTCTATTCTACATAGCAGATGTACAGCAACCTCTTTCTTGAACCTAAAATCGAAGAGTACGAGTTTCAGTGCGTTCCTGTTACGCAGCGGTATGTAGTGTACAGATATCCTGTGATGCAAGCAGCTGTGCCGACACCGTTTCCAGTTCCGGTTGCAGTCACCGTCCCGCAGCCAGCTCCACCTTCATCGCAAGTAAACAGATTTTTTATTTCTTATTTTATTATTTATATTATGTCTGCTTTATGTCTTGATGGTAAACGCCAGAGTTGTGTTTATCGCCACAAATTTGCCGCGCGTTTTGCCGCGCGCACCTCCGGGCGCACCAATGAACCCACGGGCTGCTTTCATAGTTCGCCGGCCGGCCCGCAAGCGCACGCCGGCCGAGGGCGACGCTTGCCTCTTGTTTTCGACTGAATCATGATCGATACCGCAGGCTTGAGTGGCTACTTTCATAGTCCGCCGACCCGCTCGCTTGCTTGCGGGCCGGCGGACTATGACGTGTCACGTTCACGGGCGTTCTATCTACTCGTTGTCAATACGTGGCCAGCGAAGAAAGTCCATGCCTAATTTACCTGTGTTCACGGGCAATGACTTGCGTTTTTTGGTTCGCAGTTGACTCGTTTTCCGCTACCTAGCGTTGTGACCTACAGCCTTACATCAATCGGCTAGAGATCTCTCAGTGAGGGAGTACCTCTCTGAAGGGGATTTGGGTTCTGGTTTCTTCTCTCCGAGGGCGTGTGCTCTCGCCGTTGGAGAGAAGATACCAAACACCGAATCTCCTTCAAAGACTCCATCGCGCGCTATGAAGGGAAGGATTTTAATTTCCATAGAAAGGGTACGGCAGTCGCCGCAGAAGCACGATGGCCGTGGGAATTCGGGGGGAATTTCCGCCACCCGTAAGACCTGTGGATGAGTTCATCTCCACGATATCAATCAACAATGACTCATCCTTTACATCTATTCTTATCCAGGTGGCCACATCGACCGCTTCGTCAATCGGATATGATAGTGGAGTTGCATTCATGAATACATCCGATCCTTCACTTGCGGTTGACGTGAGCGCATTTGCCACTTTTCTCAATGATTTCTTCTTTCTCAACTCTCAGTCACAATACCTTTGATTAGGTATCACTAAGTTTGCCGTCTTCTCCCAATGGCTCTGCCTCTTCCGAAACCTCGCCTCTACCTACAGTAGAAGATCCTTCCGTAAGTTTGCCTATATCAATTCTTTACCTCTACAGTTTACAACAGCTTAGCCTCTACCCATCCTTACTTATACAGGGTACTGAAGACCTAAACACAGCTTTCGATGGTCGTGATTTCGATTCTGCTATTTTTCACGAAGAACCTAAAAACCATTTGCAACCTCGCCTTGTCACCTAATTTTATTTTTGTAAGCTGAACAGCTGATGGTATATTACGGAAACGAAATGTTACGGGACTTCTTATTGGGTAGTGTGTATTGATTGTGTCTTACAGCACCACGAAAGCATGACTGTGTAGGCTACTTATCATCTTTTTGTTATTTTGATGGTCTATTCAATTTGAAGATGCTTTTGAAGCATATCGATCTGGTTAATTACTATTTACAATTTAACCACCAACATTGCAACGCCTCCTATTTCGTAAACATTATTTTGAATAATACGTCACCGATTTGGTGATTTTTGAGCATGCTTGACAGATTTTTTTTTGACTAATTCCTAACAGCTAGTCTTAAAACAACTTGGTCGGTTGCTACGATTCCTTTATGTGTGTATTTATGTAATTATAATCCGAATTCCGTCTGAGCTCAAAATGGATGGCATTCCTTATATACAAAGTGAAGAAAATGAAAATAAAAAATCTCTGTTACCAAATAGCACATGGCTCAATACAATCACAACCTGATATAATTCTACATAATGTACATATTTAGAGCTTATCCCACTCAATTTTCTCATCACTGACGCGTATCTCATTCCAGTCACATAGTCCAAGATCAGCCTCGTTAATCCCATTACAGTGCGCACGATCGGAAATGCGAATAATTGCAGCATCATCTTTGCATAGCCCTGTTCGACGGAGAAGTTCAACAATCTGTAGTTTAAATAGATACATAATACATTAAGCAGACGCACATTCCCTGTTTTTACAGCTTAATAGCTAATGAAACTAAAAAAGGAAAACTTACCAGAGGGATACAGTGAGGCATTGCTGGTCCTCCATCAAGCTCGAGCACATACTCAACTTCTTTCCGCCGTATGACTTGGGATGATTTCTATAACTAGTTGGTTTAAGAGAAGAGACACATACTAATCGTTTGAGGGTAAACGAAACAATAAGAAATGCACCTAAGTGCAACTTATGTACTATTTACTCCGCAAACGAAAAATAAACAAAGAAAACCTGCTAGTATGAACAAATTAGACCTTCAGAGATAGCAACTGGGCAAAGTGGAACGGTTGAGCCGCAGTTAAAGTGGGTGGTAACTTTGCGTGTGGTCCTGCTATTGAGCGGCAAACTCGCGAAGATTGCAACAGATTGTAGAGCGTTTGGAGGTCTGCACCCTGTAATGTGTTTTACCCTTCGGGCTAATCATCAAGTCACAAATTTTCATAAACGATCTCTATACTAAAAGCCGATAACAATCAAAAGCAAAAAGACGCTATTTATGGATACCTTAACCAGTACCGCCGCTACTTCTTCGAAATCCAGTTTCGACTGACCAACATCAGCTAAATTTGATGAAGATCCGAGCGATTTACTAAACATATTCAATAAATCAACTTTAAATTAAAGTGGGAGATGGTGACTCGAACAAAGATGAACGGTAAGACAAGAATGGAGGATTGATGAAGCGCTTCGCGCATTAAAATATTCTTCATCAAAGTCGAATGAACTAATGTTGCAAAAGCAACGTGATACTAGGATTATAAACTGGGGACCGAAGTCAAATTCAATATCTCTATGAAATGGAATTTCATGGTTTGTATGACAGGAAGTGATATAGGATTTCATGAAAGTAAACGAGATAGCGTGAAGAGGTTGAGCCTCAACCTATTTCTCAGAAAGACTTACTATCGCTTAAGCTTTGCAGATTTTCTCGGTGACATTCCGATAGTCTCTAGCCATTCGTGATCCCCAGACGAATCAGCTTTTTCTGGACTGCAACAAAAAAGTTTTAAAACAGGCGGACGATTTGAATCGTCTACAGCTATGAAATGAATCAGTTACCTCCTGTCCGAATCACTCCCGTTTGTTGTATTTTCCTTATCCTCTGAATTATCCGGGGATTTCCGTTCTTGAAAGCTGATTCTTATCTTTGAATGGCTGAATCTTCAAGCTACGCCAAGAAGCTCACCGTTAGAAAAGGGTGGCGGTTGACTTTGGGTAACACCTTGCCAGTCAAAATCCAACCTTGAATCTCCATCGGTGGAGAACTTAAAAGACGCGGATGTCCTGGCTCTAGAACGAGTCTTACGTCGCAGAACTTCGAATTCAACGCCTGAAGCTTTCAGATTATTTCAAAGCGTGAACCAGAAACTACGGAAGAAGCCGGTCAGATTTTCCCAGTTTTTCTTTTTGTTTTTCAGGCTGTTTCTTCAAACGTAAGTGAAAGCTTGAATCTTTTTGATACTATAGTTACATCCTAGATGGCTACGTTTTTCTGTCACGTTATTAATTCAGCACCTTCACTTTTGAGATATTGCCTGAATCCTATCGTGCTCGGTGTTATTATGGCGACATGTCGTAGTCCATCGCTCGCCTGAAAGCATGACGAAGAGTCCTCTCCCGGCGCTGAAAACTGAGTTGCTGAGTTTTTATTTCTGACATGATTCGAAAGAAAAATATTAGGAACAAGAACAGCTGAGAATTATCAGCTATCAAATAACAGCTTTGATTGGCCGCAACTTTAAAAGAATCTTGTGCAGGTAGGTGTGCAGACACACCTACACTTTGGAATACAGAACTCTGAAGAGCACTTCTCATCAACTTTTCCGCTTCACCTAAGTTTGAGCCTTTAGCACGAGACCTCTCTTATCTACTCTCTCTATTTTATACTGAACTCGTTATTTCGTTACCGGTACGTAATCACGGTTGTTCTCCTTTTCATAAANATAAAGAAGATGTGATAAATAAGTTTTTGAACACAGAATTTTCAAGGTAAACTGGTGAAGTGCCACCATAAGAAAATCACCTGGGTCGTCCGCACGTACTTTCGTAAATAGGACGGTAAATGATGAACATGACATGTAGAAACTTCTGCGATCGCCTTTCTTCCAGGACAAAAAAAGTTGATCGAAGCATTCCGTCCTGAAAAAAAGATCGAGTGCATGAGGCAGTCGGAGAGAAAACTTGCAGCAGTATGTAGATGAACTTATCATTGTATATCAATAGCTTCTAAACAAGATGGTGAGATATGTGACATGAAGTCGGTCACATTTGTTCCCGCGTTGACTAACGAATCTATCCGGGGAAATGCCGTAAGCCAAGGAAGGCAAGGAAATTGCCAGTAGAAACACGCCGCTTCTAATAAGACTATAGGAGACACGCCTGAAGGGACATCCATCGAAGATGGTGAGAGAAACTGTAAAAATAAACATAAGCAGAAACAGGGGAATGGAAAAGTTGCATTATCTCACATCCGTGCCAACAAGTTTCAGGAACAATTGCAGTCCTTCGTGCCTCTGCTGACCAGTAACACGAACGGGGACCACTCCTAAACATTCATGAGATGTACAAGTGAACGGCAGAGTGAAGTATGATTGAGTTAAACCTGAATTTGAAGTATCTCGCATCCACATATAGGGTTTTCTAGTTATAACTCTCAACTTTGTGCCCAGCCTGAGGTCGGATGGAATGGTTTCAGAACAACATGTATCGATTTCAACTGTTGAAGCAGAGCTGTTGCCACAGAATATGTCAGAAAAGTCCGTTGCAAAACACTCTTTCAAGGAATGATCCTGCAAAATTGCAGTGAAGACAAACAACCAAAATGATTGAAATGCTACGTGAAACGAAACGACAAACCGAATCTTCTACAAAGGGTTGGGAAAGAGTACGCTTCATCCTATGGCTTTTGAGAAGAACACTGAAAGTGAAAACATCGTAAATGTAGTGGTATATACTCGTTATATACGTGAAGGATTCACCTTTCGTTTGAGAAAGGATCGTTAGCATTTGAATCATCCCAACTTGTGGATACATCGAATGAGACGCGTTCTTCTGGCTGGCCATGCTTTCGTCGTTTTTTCATAGGAGAAGAACGCTTAAAAAATACGAGAATGTAACACACTTCTTCAAAAGTGTTTGATCGACTGTTCTACACTAGACATAACAAAATATTGCAAAGATTTGAGCTTCTTCCTCTACTTACAATTGCAAACGGAGTATTTAAACGCCCCTTCTTAAGTATTGGGTAGGTAGGAACTCATTTCCCCTGTATTTAATTTCCGAGGTGAAAGATAGTTCAGTGGTACGGTACCCTATTTCATCGATTATTCCCTAAAAAAGACGCTTCTAAGGTTCTCTTTAAAAGGTTCGGTAAGAATAAACAAAAGAATAAGGCGAGAGCAAAACAAATGCATCAAAAGCATCAATGAAAGAGTCAGCTCAAAACCAATTTCAATGTATATTCAACCCTATCGATTACTGTCCGACCTAAACCCCCGTCTAACTCAATGTCAACCCCCTCCCAAACTTTCACGGTAATCGAAAGAAATGAAACGACCGTGCAAAGCCCAAAACTCATGTAATAACCGCATCACTTTCGCCCAAGTGTTTTGGGGTTACCACTGTCACAGCGTAGGTACTGCCACTGGGAATGCAATACATTAGAATGTCATGCAAGTCTAACAAGAATTAATTTTACCTTGAACGGATTACTCCTTGAGTGAGTTCCACGACAATCAGCGGTAGTGGTACTTTCTTTGATAGTTCCATCAAAAGACACTGCCAGAGATCGTGAACTTAAAGTCATATTACTTTAATCTCGTCGGAAATATAATGTCAATCATTAGTTTTGACCCTGAAGTTACTTATTCCGCAACCTTTACTATGAACAGAACATTTCCATTGGTTACCTGCTTGCTCGCTTAAGATGTTTTCTTAGTCTCTCGCGTGGATTCTTCCATTTCGGCGATATTCCTGTAGCAGCTGTCTCCATCGTTTTAAATTCGCTATACCTCAGAGGCAGGAAATAGAAGTATCTAAATCTTAACCATAAAAAAGGTGTACATCAACAGTAGATGGCACAAATAATCCGGAATCGAAGTTCAATACAAAATCATGTATTATCATCAGAATCGTAGAGAAATCTGCATGGTATGTCATAGCAAAAACAGAGGAAAAGAAGCATAATGGAAAAGTTATTTTCAAATTATTAATGTTCCCGCTCTGATAAGGAGGAATCGCATTTATAAAAACAAGCAGTTCTTCGCGCGCGTATCGCGTGCAGCTGTTTGTTTAGGGTCACACACGTATGGGAGATTGTTTACTTGGGTTCACTTTCTTTTTTATCGAAACAGCTTTGAGACGCATAAGAGGGTTCCGAGGATCCGGATGGGTGGAAAAGGTAAGGAGACCTTCGCAATCTCTTTGCCTTTAGGGTGCTCATGGGCTTCGATTACCACCCAAAGTCTGCGTCGTCAAACTCGCCCAAATCATTCAGCCATTAGGTTTTCGATCGATTGAGTTTTTCTAATATCCTCATGGATCTAGTAGAAAGTAAAGAAGCTGGAGAATAAGGGAGAAAGTCTTTGGATGTTGATCAGCCCCGTCTGAGGGGTGCGCCCCGCATTCGACTTTTTAGTGGCGTGTGGAATGCATATGTGACCTATCAAATGACTTGCGGTGGCCAATGGGTGTACAAATCAGTGCTTTTATCCTCCCAGACTAGTCTGGTACCAATTAACCGACCCTGGAGAGATGGAAGGCTTGCTTGGCCTAGGGCGGATATCGATCCGGGATTCGAATCCATAGGATAGTGAAATCCCCTCCCCACCAGACCACTTCGCATTGTACCGAGGATGACATAGTACAGTAAGCCTGAATAGATTCACTGTTCTATTATCTGCACTACAGCCTCAATCTGGTTTACGTTGTCGGGTGCATGGTCGGCCGGCCGGCCCGTAATCCCACCACATCAATATAGCGGCGGCAAAATTGTTCAATACGCATTTTATCGTGTGTTACTATTTCAGTCCAATCACCCTTGTATCTAATGTTACGTGCTTCGGCAGCAGAACGCAACGCTATTCCTTTGACAAATGTTCTTGCCAAGTATCTTCTTGAAGACATGAAGGTAAGGCAAAAATTCTGTTTCTATATTTATTTATTCATTTATTTATTTATACACTCACCACTGGGTGCGTCACCACTGATAGCAAATGAACCACCGCCGCCACCATGAAAAGTTAGATTAGGAAGGGGAAATCCCTTAGTAAACAATATGATGATTGAAATTCCCGACCAAAAGCACTCTGAATGGTTTGAAGGCAGTGAACTTTCCTATCCTTTAAGTGGTAAGTTCAGATTGTAAGCGATGCGCGTGAAGGCAGCACTATACGCTTTTATAAAATGTGCAACCCTACAGTATAGCTATAGTGTTGTAGGTAATATCCAACTCATATACTAGTAGGAAGTAACTGCTGAGTCGTTGGTCATTCAAGGGCACAGTTCACGATAACTTTTAGGCACATTTTTGAAGCCGGAAAGTGGAAGAATCAGTAGGGAATAGTGCGTCGTTGGTGAAGCAAAAATTCGCCGGTTATAGAAGTGGCACGAGATTATCATGACGGAAAATGAGATGGAGAGGTTTTCGGACGAGATTTCAGTTGTTGCAATTGCCAAGGAGCTAACTACTTCAAGCCAAAACTGTCCAGATTGCCTTTCACCGTCGCTAGGGGTTATGGCAAGTTGTTTGAACTTCCCCCATGGGTTCCCTTGTGAACCCATCTGGGAAGTTGTTCCCCTTGTGCAGCCTCTACGATGCCGTTGAAACTCGTCCGCGCATGCCTTCATAACGCTCTATCTTTGGCGTTTTACGACTTAACACCTGAATCTTTCAATGATTCACTTCAATTTCTTCAGGCGTAATTTGAAAAAAATCATCTATTTATTGCAGCTATTGGAAATTTCTTCTGGTACTGGACAACATATTGTTGAATTTGCCACGAAATTTCCTTATGTTACATTCCAACCATCTGAAGTGGACGCTAGATCTCTTCATAGTATCGTCGCTTATATTGATCATTACAGGGTAACAGTTTCAAATTTAATGCTGAAGTTACTGAACCAACCTTGCTTTCTGAAAAAACGACTTCGTTAGAGTGTTCAAGGTAATTTAATTAGTGATCATGCGATTTCTGGACATTTTCCATTGCTTAATGAAAAGCAGCAGTTGTCGAGCTTTCTTGCATCAATCCGCAACGATGATCACCTTTTTCTTATTCTTATAGAAGCAAGAAATAGCCCGAATTATGAAGACGGGGCCACGACTTTTTCTTTCGGCATTCAGTTTTTCAGAGCGGAGGTGGTGTAGTGGCTAGAGGCGCACTTCACAAGGCATGGTCACGGGTCCGAATCCCGCATCGATATCCGCCCAGGCTGACACGACCTTCCTTCCCTTCGGGGTCCTTCGGGGTGGGACGATTGGCACCAGACTTTTTTAGGTGGTAAAAATCACCGACTTGTACATCGCCTGGCCACCGCAAGTCATTGTAAAGGCCACATACGCACTCATTACGCCACTACAATTCTGTATGGGAGTCCAATGCGTGGGCGCATCCCTCAGGCGGTATTCATTAGAGCCTCGGATTTTATCCTTTTATTCTTACATGGCAGGAAGTAGCCGAACCATAAAGACAGGGGGTGACAAGTTTTTCTTTCGCCAATACAACTAACCCTGGTCTCCTCTTCATGTTGGGAAACGAACAGGGCTGTATTTCATTTCATAGTTCAAAAATCGTATTGACATTCAATTCTAGCAACGAAAACCCCTTCTCACATAGTTTATCCTCCTTTTCACACAATTTATTTCAGCTCGCAAACGTTCGAGTCCCTCTGTACATCGACGTCTCCAAACCGGTGAGCCATTGGGCTCTTCCGACTGACTATGGCCCCTCAGCAGTAGACGTTATTCTTAATATAAACATGATTCATATAAGCAGTGATGCTGCTGTAGAAGGACTTTTCAGGGCAAGTAAGCAATTTTTCATCTCAACTAGTAGTCAACAATCTCGTTCTCCTTTTCAGGCATCTGGTACTCTATTAAAACGTGGTTCTGGACTTCTTATCACATATGGACCATACGCAATCGATGGAGTTATTACACCTCAATCAAACGTAGCTTTCCACGACAGCCTACGTAATGAAAACCCTGAATGGGGTCTGAGAGACATCCGAGATTTAAACGAGGTAAGCAATGGTCAAAGCCATGGTGTTGTGTGTTTTGCGCTGTCAAGCTGGGTGGGATTAGAAAAAAGGAATGGCAATAGAAATCCTAATGTAGCGTAACGGTAGCTCTTACTTTGTCAATATAGATAATCATTACTTAGCTTCCAGTTAGCCATACGCTATGGTATGCGATTGGTGGCACGACACGACATGCCTGCGAATAATCATACGTTGATATTCAGCAGAGATTAGTCAGAATCTGGGACCCGAACGGCATTTGCGGAATTGGAGTGACAGTTCTGAGTTGAGCTTCATGAGATAACACCAAAATTAAAGGTTCTAACTTCAAAAATAAGTCTGCATGATGTTATACATCTTCATTACAACGAGGACACAAACGCTCACAAAAATCAAACAGAAGCATACATATTCTGGTATAAGTGACAAAAATACTAACAGACTAGAGGTTCACGATTGGCAAACGAGACAAAAAAAAGCGAAATTTCGTTAAATGTAAATGGCAACATATTAAAATAGAAGCGTTATGCATAAATAGTAAGACCCGATAAAATCTGATGTCATTGTTTCCTTCCGAGATAAGTGTAATCATCATCACCCTCATACTCGGCATCATTGTCTACATTGTCTTTTGACTTACGAAAGACTCGTTCTGAAGGCGCTGGAACATTGCCGTCACGAACAAATTGCACGTCCTTCCGACCCGATGGTGAATTGAATTCGAACGAAATAAACCGATCACGGATATGGTTCTTCTGTAACGAAACATGGAATAGTTACCAGAAGTACTATGCACTTTGTCACTTAGAAATCCTTCGAAAGCTGTCCACTAGCATACGCACGTTTTCCTGAACCTATGCTTTCTTCCTTTTTTAGCAAATGCAGTTACAAATAACAGCACATGAAAACCGAACCATCCAAAGATAACTCGGTATTCAAATCTTAAAAAGGATGATGAAAGCTACGAAAACTTACTGTTGGCAGCGATTGATTTTGAACTACTGCTAGTCGATGTTCGAAAAGCTTGAGAGCATAATTGTATAACTCGATGTCCAGTTGATTGCGCGTTCGAATCTCCTTCAACTGCTCCGAACTGACATTTGTATCGTTTGACTTACTCCGGCTCCAATCTGATAGACGGCGATTAAAGCTGAAAGCAAACCAAGTTGGATAAATTTTATAAACTTGTAGACGTTTCCAATGTAAACACTGAACAATCTTACTGGTTAGTCATTGTAATTTGATAAGGTTTTAAAAGTTTATAGATAGCGCTTTTAAAAGTTTATAGCAGTCTAGTGAAGCCGTAAAAAGCCACTCTGGATTTTCTGGACAGGGATGCGGAAAATAATGACCATACCTAGTCTCATAATGCTTAGGAAAAATCCTGAACAGCCTCGGCGAGAATTTTTTAAATACTAATGCGATAAGATTTCCCCTGAGTAGCCCCCGAAGCAAAATGGTCAGAACAAAAGTAAACCAACCTGAGATTAAATAATCGTTCAAACATTGTTTGACTGTCGTCCATTCTTTCCTTGATGCCAAAAAATGCCATGTTTCTGAAAAAATCACCTATTCTGAATGGAATTTTTAAATCTAATGGAATACACATTAAGCGGAGTCACACACCAGATATGCGCATTTCCTCCTACCTTTTGTCCTTTACCCTTTTGAGCGATCCTTTTGACCCAAACTTTAGCCGCCTCCCTGGGCGGTACTACCCAATGCTGTCGTATTGGATAGTANGGGGGGGGGGGACTGAGGCTCATGCATGTTACTGTTTTTGGAACCAGGTTACCCACAAGCAACTTGCCAGGCTGTGACGTGGGAACTGGGTGGACTCCAGGCAGCTGTAGGCTATCCCACAGTGAACAAGAGGTTTCGTTTCGAGGGCGGCCCCAAGTCGCCTCCCAGGATTTATCCCACTCACATACGTGAAAGCTTTTTTTCTGAGCTGATGTTCAAAACTGCATACTCTCCACACACGAATTCATTTTGATCCGCGATTCACTCCCCTATCCACCACCTGAAGTTGCGAAGGGAGCGAATCGCGCTAAGGCCTCGTCACCAAACAGCTAGAGATCTTTCGGGAGAGGATTCCACAGTTCCTTGAAGGAGCTGGATGAAGAAACAGAATGACAGTATATGACAAATCCATTAATTCCATAAAGTTTTGCGGCGATGAAGAGTTCGAGAACACTGGGGGAAAAGCCGCGACTTCCGTAAGAACACGAGCCTTACTTTGATGATCGGACTCCAGTCTTAAGCTACAAACAATCACTTACTTCAGGTTTCTCTTAGCACTTTCCAAAAGTACACGGTCTCTTGTTGCTGGATCCGTGCCATTCCGTACATAGCAATTCACAAGAGTTAAGTCAGCGAGCATCCGTGTCTGCCTACAAGTCCGAGTTTCACTGAACCTATATACCTTATCGGTGCAACATCACATTTACCGATTGAATGCCAAATTGAATGGGCACATCATAAACTCGTCCAAAGAAACGTCATCCCATCCTGTATTCGGATCGAAACACAAAGGTAACTCATCAGACGTCGGGGCTCGACCATTACATATATGTCTAAACGATCACTCACAACGATCTTAACGATTAGCGTGATCCTGACCTTGTCACTCAATTCCCACCTGGAAGCAATCCATGTGGCACCTCGGTTCACATGACGATACTCCGAGATGAAACGAGAAATAGGTTCTCGTAAGAATGTTGTATAGAAATACCGTCGCATCCGCCGAGCTCCTAAAAATAAACAACAAATCTACTCCAGTTTTTTTTAACAAAAAANAAAAAATAAAAGGAAAACGAGTGACGGATGAAGCCTCAATCAATGAATATAATATTAGACCAGGTTATCACTACTCTGGGTCAGGATTATTACCTTGGAGAGCTTTCTCCAGAAAATGGCAAGAGCCAACAACATACTGAACCTTAGAAAATGCAGGGCTTCTGGCTTCAAATCCAACTGTGGATGACGTTTAGGACTTGAGAAAAAAGAAACCTTGCCTTCATCTTAACTGGGAACATCGCCTTCAAGTAGAAACGGAACAGAAACTCTAGATAGAAGTAGCATACCTTTCCAATGCTAAGACCTTTTTTTGTGATCAATAGTGAGACCTCTTCACAAAACCTCCAAACAAAGAAATGCCTCACAATAGGTAAGGATGGAAACCATATGTGGAAGCAAGTGATTCAAGGAGAGGTTCAGATAAAAAATGAGGAGAAAGCCAATAATGTTTGGAAATATAAAAAAAGATACTTAGAACAAAACTTGCCTTCTTTCTTATTAAGCGCATTGTCAACACAACCGCTCACATAAAGTTCGGTGAAGTCTGCATGCAAACCACATAACCATCCCGTTGAATATCGAGAGAACAACCAAACCTGAGAAATAGTAGCACGATAAGTATAACTGCAACTAACGCTAAATAATTCATAGTTCAATATTTTCCACACCGCAGTGACAGTAGTGAAGGCATGCGCGCCATTATGGGTGTGAAATGATGAATGCATAATCAGTTGGAGCGGCCATTAATCGCCAGGGTTGCAGCGCACACACTTGCTTCGAATATTGTTACGTCAATCCATTCTAACCAAGCCCAGAGATTAGCACCATCTTCACTTGGTAATGAGGCTCTATATTGGATCGTTTGGCCATAAAGGCTCAAGACGATTTCTCATGCAATAATGGTTTTGAGTGGAATACANGATGCAGAAACCTTGAACACCCGAAAACGCGTTCCAAATATTTCAGTTTTATTCCAAAGCGCAGAAAGAAATTCGGGGATGCCGATGCTTTCGCTGAATAATCGGTGATCAGACGGGCCAGACGCGTTATGCAGTTTTGTGACTATGGACCAGAAAGAATGCTGATTGGATCCTCTGGACACTAAACGAACACCAGAACGGTAGCAATGGTCAAATTTCTTTACAAACACACTAAATGATAGAGTGCAAGGGGGACATGAGAGTGACAGGGTCTTGTAGAGAAACGACGAAACAAAAACTTGGAGTTCTTAAATGGACCGGACACGCGTTTAATCAATGGGTTGGGTAGGGGAGGGGAGGAATGTATTCATTGTCGTATTCTGTACCGGCAAAACGCATGTAACGAAAAATTCGTCAGCTTCTCTTCAAGATCCGTGTGATGAAGAGAATCCGTAAGAATAGGATGTCGCGCATAATGATGAACGTAAAGCTATCAGAGGAAATAAAAACGCGAAAGGAGGTGGCATCAAGATTCCATTAGGATGCCTTTCGCAAACCTAAAAAGTTTCCCATGTTTCGAATCGAAGCAAGTTTAAATCTACCAAAAACTATCTAGCGCTTGGGTGAGAAGCATCCGAAGATAATCCAAATATTCTCCCTTCCCTAAGCTCACCATTAAATACGTGGCTTTTTCAGGGTCGAATATGATTTCAACACAGGTACAATAATTATAAACGTATATATTCAAATGTTCTATTAACTGAAACAAAACCCTTCGTTCTGAATAGAACTTTTCGAGTATAGTGGACGACATTCCAGCTGCTTATCCCTTTTGCATATTGATGACCTCCGTTCTAACCCACTCCAGCACTTCCCCCTTGCGCTAGCAAAGCGTCCTATTGTAACAGACGGGGCCATTAATCTTCAAGCCGTCTCTGTCAGAGCAGATGGCAAGAAATGTGTTGGAAGGTGGTGGGAGGGTGAGATCGTGAAAGATAGCAAAGGACAGAGCAATTATCTGCCCTCCGAAATCAATTTTTTAAAGGAAAACGTTCAGAAAGAAGAAGCCGGGATTCATCAATCAAAATTCATGAAAACAATTCATACCATAAGGGAAGACTGACGATGACTACGAAATGGAGCATTCAGCTCAATGAACAAGAAGATTCGGTTAAATGGAAAACAGAAATGAATTTGAGAGTGGATGAAATTCGGGTGCATGAAAATGGAAGGGGAATATGGAAAGGATGACAAATGCAAGACGTGCGGCCTAGAGAACAGGATACATATCTTCAAAATGTGTTCGGAATTGAAAAATGAATAACTTCACCTGACACAAACAAAAGCATAAACAACGGTGATAGTAAGCACTAGATTCTACTTGAGCTCTTGTTCACCAGCAATACGGTATCAGAGATAGTATAATGCAAGTAAAGTCTTAGTTTTCTATGGCTTACCTCATTTCGCTTATTTGGCCTCAGGCAGCTACATCGCTTTTTCCCTTTACTGCATTGGCAAGGACGTTCAATATCAAGATGACGAACAAGAAACTTTTCAAAAGATGTCCCAGCGGTCTTTTGAATATGAACGAACACCAATACATCGTTGCCAGCGATCGAAAACCTACAATAGTTACGACTAGACAGATTACAGTCACCATAACAGTGTATCCAAACCCACCCCAATTCTGGATTCTCTATGAGATGATCGAACGAAGTGTCCCATTCTGTTACATCTTTTGTTCGAATAGAGGAAGCAGGCTCTAATCGGTTCAAGATCAAGACACCATTTTTAGATGCTTCAGTTTGCTCTGTACCACTTCTGAATGTTTGACCATCCAAAATGACAAATCGACATGAGATACTACTAAGTGCAGGTCTTGGAACGAACCATATACCTTGTGCTACACCACTTTAAGAAAGAATATAAATTGCACTTACGTCGATGAAGTGTAGTCCAGATATTGAAACTGGTTTCCATACGATCCTAAAATTAAATAATCAATTGAAAATTGTCTGGAAATCTCGTACATTCCCTTAGTCCCAATGTGTTCATAGTCTTACCTATTATGAGGTATACGGCAGGAGCACAGAATATGACGAGTACAAACACAGTAAGCTTTCGGTGAAATGTCGTAGCATTGACTCGATTGTCCTGTCGTCTTAACATGGTGATAAGAGGGTAAATTCTCGCAGCTCCATGACAGATTAGTCAGTGTTAGATCCTCAAATGTAATAAGATAAAGCGACTAGTATTTGCCATTTTAAAATGCATGAAAAGAGTACATCGACAGATTTACTTGTCTATTTAATACGTTTGAAGGACAACGTTAGAAAAGAAAGGCAACGACATATCTACTGAGTAACCCCACGATGTAATAAAAGTAATTGAACACAAATTTTCACTGGCAGGCAAATTTTACAGACCCAGGGCAAGAACAAAATTGGACGAACTGCGCGGCAGCGGTTGCGTCGCGGCAAGTAGGACATTGCCGACCACTTCAGCTGGAGCACGTTATTCTTTGGAGTGTAGAGAGTGCCGGACGGCCTTGCTGACCGGAGCTTTCATTTGTTGTAACTAAGCATTTTCTTGGCATGGTCTTCATATGCGGCTACTTTTTTCTCGAAATTTCTCAGGATCCCATCCGGGCTGGCTATGTATCTCGCAATCTGGGAATGTGCACGTGGTTACTTTGCAGCTCTTCTTCTGTTCTGTTTATTTTACCGTTCTCTTCTTTTCGATCTGACGCAGGCATCACAGGCAATGATCGATCAGATATTAAATGGATTTTAAATCTGCCAGTCTCACCTGGATGGGTGGCATATGGGAAAGGCTTGTTGCATATGTGAAAAAGGCACTGAATAAATCAGTGTGACGTAAATAGTAGAGTTCAATTGCGATGTCCACGACAATGACAAAAACCGGAGCGTTTCTACACCCGAGATCTCTAATGTAACTCATTCTGGACGTCGTCACATTAATTCTTCTACATACAAAAGATTTTCTTCAGACAAATCTCGAATTTCCCATTCGGGAGTGAGGAATTTTGAGAACATTAATGATCCACCCTATGATCTTGATCTTACTCAATCAAAGGAGCAAGCATTGTAGGCAATGCGTTTTTCAGAAGGAATTTCAAACAAATTTTGGAATTGTTGGAGGAAAGGACACCCTACACTACCAGGAAAGTGCCAAATCAGCATTTAATCCGGATTACCGAAAATTATCGTGAACTGTGCCTTTGACATCTTCTATTCCATTTTTGAACATAAATTCCTACTTTTGAATTATAGCGGAGTGTCGAGCGCTATGCATGCGCACATATCCTTATTTGAAATGTTTCGATAGCCAATTTTCAGCACGTCGACCTTCTACCGAGGCAGTGGGGTAGGGGCTTCCTACTTTTCTTCGAGAACTCGAACCTTGTCAAGCCATCCAACGCATGCTGAGAAAAATTTGTCGATGAAATCACTCCGGCAAATTTTGATGCCCTATTAGCTGGAATGATTGGGACATTTACTTCAATGAAAAGGCGCTTCTTCAATGCATCAGGGAACATTCCCTCAGTTAGAATAACTCCAATGCCCTTTGCACGACAGAGTTTTCGATGATTTTCGTCTTTAGCTTTTGCTCGAGTCAAGTGTTCTGAAAGGCAAAAATGGAAATAATAAGAATATTTATTCTTTCTTGTTTAGTTATCATTTAGTTTTCCTCCAGTGGACATTTGTGTAAGAAAAGTCTTCAACTCTGAGATATTGACGAGAAGAAGCGCAGGATTGATGGTTGTGTCGTTCCCAACGAAACTATCGACGGCGTCGCTACTGAAATAAAAGGATCAAAACACACAAAAAAGCATATTGCGTTACAATCGGAATGTGCACCCATTCACTCGAGCTTCCAGTCAAGACCTATGAAGGGAAAAAAGGCTAAAGTCTCTTGGTGTCAATATATCCCGTCTGGGAGATGTGGCCAGGCGATTTACAAGTCAGTCTTACCAGACGGGTATGGAACCATTTCACTGAACCGGGAGAATAAGGCTTGGTTGGTGTAGGCGGATATCGATCCAAGATTGGATATCGAACCCGTTACAACGCGTGTGTGGTAGTGCGCCACTTGCTACTACACCACCTCTACTCACAGCAAAAGGGTGCGCTTCGTTGCGCGCGTCCGTCAAAACTAAGTCACGCCGCGTCCGTCGCACGCGGCGGGACAGCCCGCGATACTTGACGGATGTCACAGCTGTCAATGGGGCATACGATTTGCGCTTGGTACACGGCAGTCAGCTAAAGAGAAGGTAACATGGACTAATGCAAATCATTCGCTCTACTGACACTTGGTGGTACTGTAATGTCACCTCGAGGCCTCAGTTGGGTGAACCGCGCGCGAAGTGGGTGGGGTGACCTGCTTTCGACGGACGCGCGCAACGGACGTTCTCCACAGCGAAGCAGTCCTTCATTGAATTGCGAAATGCGGTTGCATACCTTAGTGAGACATGGCACGTGTCACAAAGATGAAGATGAGAGCAGAGTTCGGGTTTCAATTCGAACTTTCGCAGTTGCTCGTAGATCGTACTCAAAGTGCCCTCGACTACTATTCTGCAATAGCGGGCGAGTTCTTCTTTCTTGATGACAATATCGCAGAGCTTCTCAGCATCCTGAAACCGTAGAGTTCCGTACTGGTACCTTTGGGTAAGTTTGTGTAGGGAGATATGGATATCTCGCAAAACTAACCTTTTTTAACTCTTCTGTTTCAATGGACTGATCAATCCGTTTGACTATGTAAAGGCAGCGTGAGCACAAGAATTGACGGATTTTCTGAAATGTTTTTTTCCAAGATAACTTGCTATTTAGTGAGATATACTTTTAAAGCACAGTTCTTAATAAAAGTGGTTGCTGAGATTTCTCCCTGGGATGAATCTGTGACACAAAGGATGGCACAAGGTGCGCTGTCGGATCAAGAACCGGCGTAGATATGGTGTCATAAGAGATCCAAAAATGGCCAAAACCAACGTACACACCCAGGGGCGTACGAGTTCTCACGGCGTTCTATAAAGGCTGTAGACGTTGCACTAATTGCTGCACGGAGGCAGCTTACTGTAGTCAGGCGTACGCAAAAGCGCGTATTTTCAGGCAGCTCGTCCAACCCCACCATGCAATTTCTGTCTTCCCATACCCACCCAACGAATAATTCTGCCTACTTTTTTGGATTCTTATACTTCTCCGAATACACGGATCTTTCCTTGTCATTTTTTGCACCATTCTGGACTATCACTCACTCCCATTATTTGTCCAAAGTAGATCCCTAAAATTATCGTAAACTGTGCCTTTAGAAGGAGCCGCTACCTCTGAAGTGCCGGATGAATTATGTGAACACTTTCGCCAATACAAGAGATTCCCTAAGTGTTTAGGTAAGGTTACGGCCCTTGAATATCAAATCTACAACTTACGTGATGTTTATCTAGCAAATCCTTGAAGTACGACCACGGATTGCTCATATACTCTCGGATGGGGGCATGCAATTCTTTGGGATGTCCTACTAGGATTCCTTCGCTGAAACCTTGCTGAATAGCAAAACATGCTACTAAGAGACCGACCACCGTTAGCTGCTGCATCCTAAAATAATAATGAGTAAAAAAATATTCAAAAAACGAGCCAGATGAAACAGGCAGTAGACAAAAAAGGTGGATGAGAACGACATTAGTTGGAAGAGATGTATGGAGCATCTAGTAAGAGGAGTCGGCTTTCACTAAACACTCCATAGGACCAATTGCCGCATGACTCAAGTTCCATTATCTACAACTCTGTTTTGTAGGTATCCTTATCTTGAAAAAATGTCAGCAATGCGCAAATATTTCCTCATCCAACATCATTGTTGTGCTGTATACAATGAAGTAAATACTATTCTATAATCATTACTCACCCCCCGTCTCCCCTCTCAACCCTTTACTATGTGAGTGCCCTTTGAAAACTACTTGTGAAAGCGTGGAGGTACATTGCCCACGTTCATTACAAGGTGGTCTTTTTTAGGTTTTCTTTTTACTCGCAATGGTGCTGGAACTGTTGGACAATATTTTCAAAGCAAAGAATGTCTATTCAGTTGGAAATTCAGGACAGTAGTACATCGCCATATCCAAAAGAGGAAACCAGGATCATCTACAGACGGCATTGGACAATCAAAAAAAGTAGGACATCTACCTGATGGAAATGAATGTTCAAAGCTATAGATGGGAATAGCCAGGAGGAAAACCCAGAAACACAATGCCGTCATATACTTCGCAGGAAGCCACTGTACCTCAGATTTTGTCAATCTGAAGGTGCGACAGACTGAAGATTATCACTAACATTTCCACTAATCGCACCTTTCCTTTCGTTTTTCTTCAGCAAAAACTTTGCATAGAACCCGCCAGCCACCTGCAAAGAAGTCCTTTTTCAAACGTCAAGCGGTTTCCGTTTGTGAATGTCTGCCGTAAGATCTACCTTACACATAAAAGCTGTAGGAAGGGCTATAAATCAGCTCTAGCTTGGGTTTGAATGGAAATTACAGCTAATGGAAGCCTGACTGGTTTACCTACCATTTCCCATGTGAAAATCAGAAGAACATCGCCTAAACCAGCGTCGCTCATAAAACGCAGTGATTCAGCCCAGTTAAAAAGTGCCCTTGGCTGAGCAAGCGGTCCGTGTACTGGTCAAATGCTTCTAGGGCCGTTAGTTTTGGCAAGCAGCCGGAATGATGAAAAATCGCCTGATTTCAACAACAAAAGTAACATCTTTACGTAAGAAATTAGTGAATAACGACTTTATTGAACATACACTTTTCAAAAACCAATTCTGAATCATGACTTGATGGGTTCATGCCGTAATTTATTCCACCCCCTCGCACATAACATTTAAAACAACGAATATTTTGCTAGGAACAAGACTGGTGCGGGAGCTAATCCGAAATGAAGATGGAGCTCTTCAGGATTAGAACCCCCACCATCCCTTGATTTCACCTTGGGAGGTGCTTAATATTAACGACGCTAGCGGCCTACCATACCAGGAACATTCCTCTCAGCGTTAGACTTCTCAAGTGGAAATGAAATACAGAGTGAATGAGGAAAACAAAACAAGAATGACCTTATGTCACTTAACAACGGAACAAAAACGTAATCAAACGTAATCAGCCTATAGAAACAATTGATTTTCTTTCTTGGAATCTAAAGTTCCTCATGATCCGCAGCTTCGCTCTCTTCGTGAGCAGTTTCTTCTGGCTCATCATCGGCGTTTGTGTCGTCTATCGACTGAAAACGCTTCTTTTTTAATTTGTTCATCATTTTATGGATTTCAAAGAACCGTAGTGGAGAAGGCTAAGAAGAATATTCACAGAAGCAGGGCTCAAAAAATCATCAGACCTCTATTGTCAACCATTCATTGACTGTTCCAACCCGTAGACCTGCTAGCTTCTTCTTTCCTTGTACCAGGTTCACTGACAACTTCCATTCACCCTGAAACAAACTCCATTTGAGGTAATCTTCTTATGTACTGAACAGCAACTTGAACTGTGAGATTGTGGGCCAATTTATCAGCCTGTATTCTTATCTATTATAGTATGAACTGATAGGGTATATATTGCTAATAGGAAGACAAAGTGCCAGATGAGGAACCTTGAAGGAGCCAACCACCAGCTCGTTCCCAAGCGAGCGGGTGCTTGCCTTCTTTAAGGTTCCTTTTCTGACAGTTGGCCTTCAAGTAAAGGGTGTATTTGTTTTAAAGCATAGGATGAGGGCATCGCTTCGTCCCAGTTCGTGCTCAGGATAAGAAAGCAACTGAGAGAGGACTTCGAAGATGTTTCAGCACTAAACTCACTCCAAGTTGGGGAATAGGCATTGGACCGAAGTCAATGAACTCCTTCTGTATCAGTGAAGTAATTTCAACAGGAGCAGGCGTTCTTACGGTGAGAAGATCACACATCGATGAAATTTCGCACAAATCCAGTTTGCTGAAATTTATTAAAGCAAATTAAGCATCATATGCTTAACTAAGAACATGATCTATAAAGTTTTTACTTTAATCTTTCATATGTTAGAGCGAGTGGGTGGGTGCAGAAAAGGTGCAGGTGCAGGAATTATATGGGTGCAGAAAAATTCTTCACATCGAATAATGTTAAGTATGAAAATCCAGGATTTTTTTTTGAAAATGTAACGCCCTTCTCATTGTGTTGAAATAATTAGATACCGTTCATAAATAACTAAACATATATACATAGTAAATATGGTTTCAGCCATACCGATCAAGTCTCCCTAACTTTTTGGCTATGATGTGGGGAGGTGTTGGGGGCTGCTATACGTGAAGACGCCCCTACACCCTAGGGTTCCTAGCATGCTGTCGGCTGTCCAACATATGTAGTTATTGTCGATGGGAAGTGGCATGCCACTGTGCGTGAAGTCAGAAAGTTTGAGAAAATACCAGCAGATTTTGTAATTTATATGTAGCTTCTCTGGTTAAATTACTTCAGGAAACTAGGCCGGTCAGTTCGCCTTCATCCCCGTAATGGCCCTAACCTCGCACCGACGGATCACCTCTTCCGCTGCCAAGGCCACTTCCTAGACAACAGTTATATGCTATGAGTCCTTGACTTGGGGTCGACACCTACTCTTTCTTTAAACCAGACAAAACATTAAAATTCTGCAGAAGACTCATTGACCCCATGGATGGCGCTATGACTTAGGGGACGGGTAATGGAACTTCTTCCCGGTTGCGGACGTTCGCCGTGCGGCATGCGGCAAATCTCACTGCAATAACCGTACTCATCCCGCCCCTCCCCCCCGGCAATCGATAGGACGCAACATTTCCGTGATTGCCTTTTTTCTGTTTCTTTTTCGTTTTTTGTTTATTAGACTTGATTAATTAGAATGACTCCTGCTATATTAGCGACGTTCAAGACCCCTTGGAATTGAAGGGAGCGGCCAGCCAATTCAAATAATTAAAGGACTCCCTGCCTTACAAATTACGCACTCCAATCTTCCTTCGCGATCCTGCATACGCGGTGGGTGCGGCGTGCGCGACGCTGTTTTCGGGGAGAAGATACCAGACCCCTTCTTATGGGACTGTGCGCTTCTCAGAAAGTGTTCGAATAGATTCGAAAATTATGTTCCAACGTATTATAATGACCTCTTTAACGCTTTCTACCCCTCACTGCCTATCCCGTTTGCTGTTTTTTTTAGGTTGCCCGAGTACGGGATTGTATTCCGAGGGAAAATCAAATACTGGCCTATCTCCTTCGCATTTTGCCCTTTCGGTGACGCGGTACTGATTGTTTTGCTTCTAGCAATTCATACAACTCATACCGTTCGTTGTCCCTGATAAAAGAAACCAAAAATAAGCCAGCAGTGTCGTTGCATACCACATCTCGTTGGGGACGAATTGGTTTTTGCTGACACCCTTCTCGCATACAACACCGATCATGAATGAGTTCTTTTCAAGCGAGACTTCAACCATTATTTTATCCTCTCCTTTCTTAAGAGGTTCAACCACTTCAATCGTCCCTAAAATTGATATTTGAACATTACAGAAGATTAGTAGACCTACATATGGCACACACTCACCTTTTAGGACTTTGAAATTACCAGGAAACGTGAACTGCGGCTTTCCATCGGCGCAAATCGGCTTCTTGTTCTTATCGTAAGTTNTTCAATCGTCCCTAAAATTGATATTTGAACATTACAGAGAAATAGAAGACCTACATATGGCGTACACTCACCTTTTAGGACTTTGAAATTACCAGGAAACGTGAACTGCGGCTTTCCATCGGCGCAAATCGGCTTCTTGTTCTTATCGTAAGTTCCAATTTGCAGATCTTTCACTAGGATTTTACCCTTACCTGAAAAGGGCTTGATAGCGAGTAAACGGGAAAGACAATGGTGGAATACAAAGATTTTTTTAGGAGAAAATGGAAAGATGCAACACACCACAATGCTGGGGACTCTTTCTCGAGAAGTATGAAGAGTTCCAGGAATTCGATCCCCAAACTACGGGGGTGGGAAATGCCACTGCAGCACGTGAGCCCCATGCTTACATTAAAGACTAATTAAGTCTTTCAACAATTTAACACAATACCGTGATAGTTTTTGATTATAACTCATAGTAAGTTCAATTCGAAAAAGTCCGACCTTTGGTGGTATCGTAGATTTTGATAACGTTATTCTTCCCGTCGACACACTTCTTGGAAGAAACAACCACAAAAAGAGCTCCAACCGCAAGAAGGCCAAGAATCGATCGAAGCATCCTAAATACTTTGAGAATCTTCGGGACTTCACACTCAAACACAAAAGCCCAGAGGCATTTGAATGAGTAACGAAACGATGTGGGAGTGCACGTGGTAGAAAAAATGCCATTTTGGGAAAACGTGGGGCAAGAGATGATTCATGCGCTTCAACGAAAAATGTGAAGTCAGCCATCGAATGGCAAGTGACGGCAAGAGAAATCCAACTCTTTGAAACAGTTCATGAAGCTTGATGTGGGCAATGAGGAGGGGTGTCACGGAAAGAACAGTGGGACCTCTTTCACAACTTTCAAGATCGCTGTGGTTGACGTGGCGTAGCGGAATAGTTGAAGTTTCGCAAGCTGGAGGGCTACATCTATGCTGTGGCCGCTGTGATGCCGTTATCAGGTTGTAAAAGGTGTATAGATGGAGCTGATATGCTACGAAATGTCCATTTAGGTGATATTGCAACTTGACCTCAATGATAAAACTAGCCAAGCCGTTCCCCATAGCCACTCTTGTAAACCTACCATTCAGCTAATAAAAGTACAGACCAAAGTACAGTACAAAGAGACAGAAAATTCAAACAACGATGGCAAGCAAAAGTGTCTACAAACAAAATTATTGATGATCGTCGGAAATGTAAGCTGAATCAATATGAGTAATGAATCGGCTCATCGAAAGGAAGTGTTGGCTTCCGTTCGACCTTGTAGAGGACGGGAAAAAGTGTGGCATAGTATTCAATGGTGTCAATCATGTCGAGATGGAATCCAGTTCATAAAAATGATTTACTTTGTTATCGATAAGCACTTGGCGAAACATAATTGGCACTTTCCGGACCAGAAGTTTGTGCAGGAACTCGGTTCCTTAGCCGATGCTAATAATTTTTCATTATACTTTGCCTTCTATCCGAGTTTTTTTTCAAGATACAAGTCCTCGAGTGGTCTCAGTGGTGAATAGTCGCCTTCATGTCGGCCCACTTGTAACGGAGAAAAAGGGACACAATCCCCGGTGAATAACGAAGTGTATGATTCATCTAAGTAGAAGACCCGATTAGGAGGGCGGAGGTGGGCTAGTGGCACGTGGCGAACTATCACATGCGCAAGGTCGCGGGTTCGAATTTCGGACCGATATCCGTCTGAGCCAACTAAGCCGTCGGATCGCCTAGTTGGTGCCAGAATCGTCTAGGAGGATAAAAGCGCTGTCTTGCTCATTGGCTGGCCACATAAAGTTCAAGTCTTTGGGTGGATCACATACGAATACATACGAATTCAATGCTTCACTGCGATTCTACGAAACGAAGTAGAATGCTGAGGTGTATCCTTCAGATGATTTGATTGGTGCCAGATGACTTTTGGAGTCACCCAAATAGGGATCGGTGTTCTCATCTGTAAGTGAAGAAAATGGGGAATAATTAATGTACAGGCTGTACAGGCTAGTTTATGTGCACAGTTCAGGAGGAATTTCGAAAAGGATGACCCTAGACATTCGCGTATCGCCTCGGGTACTAGGGATTATAAAAAGCGAATCAATGGACTTAGAACAGACCAAGAAAAGCTCTTGGAAAATAGGGTTTGCTATGAAATGGAATTATCGTGCGAAATGTGTTTCCTGTACATACATGGAGGGAAGCACCATCGCCCAGTCGATGAACAAACACAAAAGTTAAATAATAATGTAGTCCATTTTCAGTCGGCAACATTGAGCGTTTTTAGGGTGTATTTCATGGATGGGATGGAATGTGGAGACAGCTGCATATCCATTCTCGTGTTTCTCGCCTCACACAAAAATCTTGTAAGCAATCAATCTCAAAACCAGAACTGTCTGAGGCTGACTACTATCTTGTCATCGAGACGGAGGTCAAGCTTTAGCCGAACTCGCTGTGTCGGGTTATATTCAAGTGGTGATGAACAACTTTTTCAGAAATCAGTTGAAGCCTTTGCTGTCGATAATGACCAGGAAGACAAATAATTTCTGAGTTCAGATATGTGACTCGGAGCGTGTGCATCACAATAAATCACGACAAGAAGAGGTCGCTCCCCAAGAATTTGCGATACAGACAGACAGAGGTGGTTTCGAAAGTATTTACTTCAGTAGGATTCAGCCACATTTCGGATGAACAGCAACATTGCAACACGGATAAATGAGCTGAATGCGCGCTATCCAGATAAACTAGTTTTCATTTTCAACGAAGGCTTAGCGAATTACATATTTAGGTCACCAAGCTACTACACAGGAACTCTAGCACGTCCCTCCTTAACTGCCTTTTTCGAAATTTTTACTATCATTGGTTACTGATGTATCAATGATTTAAACTATGGCAGAGGTAAACAAATACAAAAGGTGAACAGATACACCTTCACTCGTCTAGGCCAATCAAGCCTCATTTCTCCAAGGTCGGGAAATCGGTGGCAAACTCGTCCGGAAAGTTGAAAACACTAACTTGTACATCGACTGTCCCCGAATCATTCTGTTGTCCATTTACGCATTCAAACGCCCTCTCCTTTCCCGGTTCCAAAGGAGTTCGATGCGTCAGGGTTTACTAAGCAGCCAGTCATGTGCATTCCAAAAAAAACCTTCAAGAAGTGCTCTGGAAGTATTTGAAGAGGAGGCCGAAACTGTCAAATGACAAAGCTTGAGACAACGGGATCGGCCATGATGATAAATAAGCTATTGTAAGCAGATTCTGAAGCACTTGACTGTTCTGAATACGTCGTGAAGGCTTAGATCAATTCCAGGAGCTGGTATCTCATCATTGAGAGGTTATCTAATTGACCACATGACACTGAACATTCAAGAAATCGGAATAGTGATACTCATAACGAACTAAGATGATTCACTACTGAGGAATCCTATTGACGTCAACCATAGATGGGAAGTTCGTTAGGCTCCTAAATGGAGAGTGTCACTGACAGCTCTCGAATAGAGGCGACGGCTGTGAAGAATTCCGTCAATTTGTTAAAACATTCATTTTGATGACGTATCTGGAAGGTGGAATCTGAATCGAAGTCGTGTGGAGGGATGCATCCATCAGACGGAATTGAGCCAAAAAAATTCGATCCCCTGAACTTTTATCTGAAAGGTGCAAAGGCACCGTGCCCCCAATCGGTGGGCTTAAACACGGAGCGACCATCGATTATACTTGATACCATGCCACATTTTTTCCCAACTTGACCTTCGACAAAGGGGGGAGGGGGGCTATGAAGGCTAATCCCATGTTAAAGTGGTGTGACGAACAAGGGAAGGATATCAGGTCGCAGGGGGTATTCAAAGTAAGATGTGTATTGTCGTAAACGTAACAAACAAACACTGGTCTCAAATCTGCTTTCTGAAATATACCACGCTCTCGCACAGGTAGCCGAATAGGGTAGGGACTACGTTATGCAACTTCTCTGAGTAAATATTATTGTGCCCAGATAGGTTTTGAAAGACTTATAAGCTTTCCACAGGAAGAAGTTCGAGAGGAAAAGCAAATGCCGTGTCTTACTCATACACCGCACGCCCTTAAACACTTTTTTTCAGCGAAATAATGTTGGGCGTGCAAGAAATTTTCATATCCTGGAGTATACGTATATTTGTCTCCACAAAGGGCAAGGCCATTGATAAGGGTCAAAAGGGCCATTTGCCCCCTTCCATGATGGTTTGTGCTGGAATCTGTGCCATCAGAGTGACATGGCACATTTTTGTCGAAGAAAATATAAAAATTAGTTAGAACATATCCATAAGAGAAGTTTCTAGAAGGTGCTCCCATTTATGACATATGTCTTGGGGTGGTCTTTGCTATGGACTTTCACAACAATGTTCCTCCAACATTCGATTCTTCTTCTACTTCAGAGATTCAGAGCAATATTTCTCACGGAAGTAACTATGGCAGGTAATCTGACACAAGATCAATTGGTGCGTTTCAGCATTTCTGGGTTTTGGACGGTGTGGGGGAGCATTGAAAATGTTTGTTAACTATTGATCATTTCAGACTTTGAAGAAACCGATTCTGCAGAAACAACTACCGAGACACATTGTTTACCAAGCTCATGAAGAATACAATGCAACGAAAACTACAAACATGGATGGTCAGCGCGGCAGAAAGTTCTTGGACTAAATTGTAATCGACATGAATTGCACAGGGTACTATGACTGAAAGGATTCAGATTTTAACAATTTATTGACCGCAGATCTCTTCGCGGAACTCAGGCTATGGCGTCGATTCCTGCATGTTTGACTGTAGTTCATTCTTGCACATTTTGGTCCATGTCTTCCAAGGAGTCTCGGTATGGGATATAGTAGTACTGAAATAAAAGTTAATGTTCTCTGAGTGAAATATAAAAAAAACATAAGGGAGTAAGGTAGACAGAATACGATGTTCTTTAGACGTTTCCACAACATTATTTTGCTATCATGGACTCTCCCTGTTGGAGAAGAGTGGTTGTGAGTAACGAGAGCTTCCTAGGTCTTTGCGAATACCCAACTTCATTACATAAAATTCACTGTGGCTTCAGAGTTGGTGTCATTATTCAGTTTTCCGATTGATTTTCGCCTTCATCAGTTTTGAAGCTGTCCTTGCATACTAATGACAGCAATGTACAGTAAATTAATAAGAATGGAAAACAGTTAGGAAGTGTTTCTTCTCAGTCGTCGGAAAAACGGGATCAAATTTTCATTCTAAAAAGTCAATTTGACTTTCGATAGCCAAGTTAATCAAGGTTGTCGCTTAATTTGGCCCAAAAACCAACAAACCTTCTAGGAAAGTCACTATTCATTCAAAATATAGAGCCGAATAAATGGTAAGGATGAATGTAAAATCGAGGAATTTGAACAGTATTATAAAGCTGCTCACCGTCGAAAACAATCGCGACCTCTTTCCAAGACCAATGCCGGCCAAAGTGTCAAAGCTGCTCACAGATTTCTTCTCTCCAGCCAACATATCATCTCGTTTTCCAAGACCGATTCCTACAACAGTGACTGCAGTAAGGAAGGTCTTCAATGAGAAATAGCCCTAATCTTCTCATTCATTTCGTGCACGTCTCGTTTTAAAAAGCTCCTTTCGGCCTTTGCACATGAATCATTATACGTTCCGAGGAGAGTGCGATTCCAAAAGAAATCGCAGGCAAATTTTAGACACAACTTCTGAGATAATACTTCTGCAAAAAAATTCCTATTAAAAAAGCTTACAAATGACAACCTGGGAATAAACAGACCTATTTGCAACAGGTCAGATTCGTAGCAACTTCGAACTTTTTCCTAAGCCCAAGAAGAAGGAAAGATGCCGCGTGCTCTCAGCCAAATGGTTCTGCACGGGGTATGCCAGCGAAACACTGGTGATGTCTTTACTGTGATTCGAATGGTACTCATCAGGCGGATTTGTCATCTCCAAGTTCTATGTGAATACTATTATCTTGATCGGAAGGTGATCATTTTGCCCTACTGTATTATGTAGTATTGTTCAGCTGCATGGACTTCGGTCGTCGCGAATTTGTCTTTTTTCCACAAAACTTAAGCGCACGACGACATGTACGATACAATGCATACGAAAAGAACGAATGTTTATACTTGATCGTGTATGTATGACTACTTTCATAGTCCACGATTTGGCCCGCGAGCGATTGGGGCTGCGCTTANCCGCGATATCGACCAAGGTTCAGTTATAAACAAGGGCCAAGCGCCGCCCCAATTGCTCGATCGCTCGCTCGCTCGCGGGCCGAATCGTGGACTATGAAAGCAGCCTGTTAGTGAGATAATAATTGACACCATAGCTGACATGCCATTCAAGTGTAAATAGACATATCAGTGGCCTCCCTACCTCGAGGCCTAAGAGCGCGGTCGCTTACTCGGCCAGCACCCCGCAACCTGAGCACTTGTGCGAGCATTCCTCCATAGCTCTCCGTCTCGTCTACCTACAATCTCCTAAGTGCAGTCCGACGCATTCGCGCTTCACCGCAATGGCAGCAACTCTATGGTCGTGGAAGTAAACGTCAAGGTAAATGTCTCTCATGTGGGGTTTAACTCCTCCGTGAATTTATACGCCAGCGGCGGCTCCCCTAACACTTCGCCCACAACAGTTGGGAGCATGTTGGGTTACTGTAAAAGAGCTTATCTAATTTCGCATGCTAAAAATTACCATCCATTTGTTTTGAGGGTTCTATCCAACCACGCCTCACTCCCAACGGTATAGGGGCTCCCGTACATACATCCAATCCGGCGCCTGTGCTCCTATAGCTGTACCCCAGGATTCGGCAACTTCAACTATTAGCCCGTTTCACCTTTTTCACCAAAGTCAACCGAGGAGCTCAAAAAAAGGGACCGCTCATATCGAAGAATCAATCAAGGCCCTTGATTTTCGTTCTTCCGAAAGCTTTATTACCTCCTAGCGTGTCGAAGCTGCTGAGTGCCTTTTTCGCCGTCTCTTCTGATCGCTTCCCCAAACCGATTCCACCCAATGTATCGAATGAGCTTAATGCTCGTTTACCCAGACCTGGAAAACTTGTGATATATAGATTTTAATAAGCAAAATTTTCTATCAAACACATGGCTTCGTTAACGATAGCTAAATAGGCGACCTAGAAATGGTCCCATGCTATAGTCCCTCCCCTTATTATTCATTTGACTTACCTAGTCCTCCAAGTGAGTCGATTGAGCTGAGTTGTGTGCGTTTCCCAAGACCAATTCCGCCCAATGTGTCGAAGGATGATAGTGCACGCTTATCACCTGTGAGGTCGAAACCGGCCTAAAACATGATTTCGTCTTAACGAACAAAATCCCACTGTTTCGCATCATCTACTTAATTTACTGGCAAAGAACGCAACGAACGCTCGTTCATGTCCTAAGGACAATGGCGATTTCAGAGAAACTTGGCAAAATAACCTTCCCACATTTGGGCGCAGGCGATTAGGCCCCTCTCAAGAGTTTCGACTGTTTAAATTGAACAACATAATTACCCTGCAGAACAAGCTAAATCATTCCTCGCAGGAATTTTCCTTCCTTCTAAGTGGAGCCTTCTACCATATAGGTATTCAGCAACATGAGGGTAGACTTCCGTTGAAGAAGTTGCCTAATTGAGCCCATCTCATGGTCATTTCCTCATACACTATTGGAATCTCCCCTGAATATACTATCAAATAACCATACCCTGGTTCGCTGAATAATTCGTCCTGATGAAAGGACGGAGCTTATCTGGAAATTCGGTATGGTGCAGTTGAGTCGGAATGGTCGCTTCGCGGCGAGAGCGGCGTCGTGCACGAAGGGAAATTCAACTGTTCGTCTTCTCTGGGAATTTCGCTTCTCCCAATACAGTTCCTGTCAACACGAAGCCCTTCAAATTTCGTTTACGCTGACCCTCGAACAATCCCTCTATTTCCAGGCTTGCGTAAAACTTCATAAAAAAAGGAAAAAAGGTTCTGGGCAAGGTAGGAAATATGTGTTGTCACATTTCCGCTGGGAATGCTTAGGCGGGTTCCAAATTCGTTTTAGAAATGAAATTGGAGCCCAGGAGATATAAGATTTTTATAAGGAACCCTCTCCCTACTCAACCACTCGAGGCGATGTTCTCTACGCTGGGAAAGTTGGAGAAGCTAGAACGCTTAGGGCCGGTTTTTTTTCTATTCCAAAATTAGCTATTCTCGAGTGAGTGCCCGAGCCCGAGCCAAACATTTTAGACTGGTAAATGAGATTTCTTTTTATTTTGGCTCAGTTCGTCATCGCATGATGCGAAAATTATTCATTTTCAACTGCGATTAATAATATATGTCGGGAACTCTAGTGAGAAGGGAAAGAGGAAGGACTTAATGGGGAGAGCCTCTCTACAACATATTACATATTGAATTGTACTGTAGACGCTCCTACCACTGAGCTCCAAACCGTTGGCGAAAATGAGCAGACCTACCCCTGCCCCCTTTCCCCCGCAACTGTTCCACTAGCTTTCAAGCGGACAAGTGCAGGCATTGCATCCTGAAGGACCTCTTCTGTATCATGGCTATGTTCGTTTGAGGAAGTTCAAGTTCCAGTTCCCTTCTCTGGTTTGCTAGTGCATTTTGGACGGACGGAAGGAATTAAGAGAGTTCATATTTCCTCGCGTCACTCTGTCGTCAATTTGCCATTCACAGAGTGCGCACTGCCACCTAGAGGCGGTTTCATCCAGGTGAATGCGTGGTGCTGGTGCTGGTGGGGTGAATGCGAATTACATCATGCAACCCAATAACCTTCCCTTAGAGCTACTCCTGACACCCACGTGTGTGGTTCAGACTTCTAAGCAGTGACCTCAGCCTTACGATCAATCACAGTGATGCAGGAACAACTGGGATTCAGCGAAGAATCCAGAAGCGACGCTAGCAAGAGTCCTAGATGATACCGTTAAAGACACCGCCATATCGACAAGGAAAGCTCTCCCGAACATCCCTAATTCCCAAACTTGATCGTCGAGTTAAGAGCCTTGTTTGGAGAATTCTCGGCGGTTTTTTGCCTCCATAACTGCTGGCTTCACTGCTGGTGAACTTCTGCGCCATTATGCCTCTATTTTCACATTCAATGTCGTCCCTCATTTCAAGTTACTTGAATTAGCCCCTCAAAGCATGATCAAAATAGAACATCAAACTCCCACACCGGTACCAATTACCTCAAAAAGGTCCCAATGTTTTAAAGAACAACAAAATATCCCCTTCTCAACATTATGATAAACAGACGACATTGTGTCTATTAACGATAAGATTCATTAAAGGGTATGGGAGCAAAGAAAAATTTCTGGGAGGGCCCTTTATTTATCTCCCGTACAAACATTCCTGGAAGAAACTCTCCCAGACGATCCCATGATTTCCTCCCCACGATTCTACGAGTTTCTCCAAGAATACTAAAAAGGACTCAACACAACTGACTTCGCATCGACATCGATCGCTTTCCACTTACAAAAGCGTTCAGATATTCTTGGGACTTCTCCTTCTATCAAAACCTAGCAATCAAAAAACAAGGCGAACCTTTCGACACACTAAATATCTTCTCGATGGTTATTTGACATGACTGTATAGTGCTTAAATATTTCATGAAACAAGAAATCTTGAAAAATTACCGTATCCGAGAAAACCGTCTGCGCCGCTACAAGACATGAAAACAGAATAATATACATGGGGTACCTAAAATATAGTTTTTACTGGAAATGTAGAATCTCCCACTGATGAAAGAGCTTTTCGAGCTTCAGAATGACGGAACACATAAAGATTACATAGTTACAGTTTGGCAAAGTGGCTGGTTAAGCGTAAATCTTAGGGATCTGTGAGCTCCTTCTGAGAAATGTTATGAATGAGTAGGTGAAGGGAGTGATTAGAAATGGTCATCGCATGTTTCAGATATTTCTTCAGAGGCAGCTTGAACAAAATAAGGCCATATCCCATTTACAGAGAGCGATAAAACAAATGAGAGCTTATAAATGGAAAATGAAGCCAAATGATAGGCAACACGAACAGTTCAAGATTAACAACACGGCTCTCCAAACGAACTCGCAGTACGATATATAGTGAAGACAAGAAAAGACGAGGAAGCCGGCGTTTTCAATAAAATATGAGGCTTAAAAAGTAGTAAAATTAGGGGAGGACGAGAATATGACGACAAAAGTTACATGAAATGGTATTTGGACGAGCTATCCGAATGAGTGAACTACTGCTTACAGCTGTCAAAACTAGTGCTGTACGGTGACATGATTCATAATAATTTTAAAGGTCTAGTTTCAATCGAATAATGGGAACAATAGTCCAGCCTAGAGCAAAACTAGGGAAAAAACGAAAATCGGCGTCTCCAGAGAACTGTAGGCTTAAAAAAAGTCTTGGTAAGGTTGTTGGTTAGACGAGAATATGGCGATAGAAGCGGCGTGGAAAGTTTATTTGGACGAGTTGTCCGAATTTGTGTGCAATTGCGTACAGCGAACCACTCCCGTTGCAAATGGTGCAACTTCTACAGTCTTCACAACGCCCCGAGAACTCGTCTGCGCTTAGGTGAGTACATCCTCATTACGATCTATCTAAATCATTTTTCTACTCGACATCGCCCTTATGCTATCCTTTAGGGGTCACAGGTTCATCTCAGAGAGGAATCTCAGAAACATTTTTATCGTGAACTGTGGTTTTGAACAAAAATTCCTAGATAAAGTGACCTCACAACTTTTATGATTAGAAAGGCATCCATCCACTACGATACGACCTCTCATAAACCCTGCACTGATTACGTGTTTAACCCTTTGACGACAATGCGGATTTCGACGTGGCGCGCCCATGAGGCCACGCTCCTCTCCTTTCGCTTACGACTGGCTCCCACTGGTGGCTGGCACGGTTCCAGAAGAAAATTCTTTCATTGGCTTACTGAGTTCGGCAACTGGTAAGAAACAAGAAAGTATGGTGGCACTCAAAATTGGTCTCATTGCCCCATGCGCCAGTCATAGTTGCACCCACCGGTGGGTGCCCTTGTCGTCAAAGGGCTAACTTTTCAGCTTATTTGGTAGAAGAAAAGGGCGGCAGCAGATCCCATTCGGAGCATCGCAAACTGAAAGGCTTACGTCACAGTAAAGGCGTCACTTCCGGAACTTAATTTCCACTAGGCTTGCGTTGTAGGTAAACATTTTAAATAAGACCGTCTGGTTATAGCATTCATACCGGGAAGTACTGGAATTTCAACAAGTATGAAGGATAAAGTCTTTGAGCATTGGTCAATCCGATATGAGGGATGCGGCCCGCATTCAAACTCAATTAAGATTCTCAGAGGCTTATTAAATACGTATGCGGCCCATACAATGAATTGAGGTGGCTAGTCGATGTACAATTCGATGGCTTCATCCACCCAGACAAGTCTGGTTCTACTTACCCGGCCCCAAACGCATGGGAGGTTTGATTGTCAGATTCCGGTCTGGGATTCGAATCCGTGACCACGCCTGTGTGCAGGTGCGACATTTGCCATCATACCACTTCCGCCGTTGTAATTCCTATATGGATACGAAACAAATCGGGCAGCACAGCTTTTTTTCATTACTGTTCTGATGGGGAAGTTCACTTTCAGCAAGTACCGCATGAAACCAATGAACAAAAATAGAAAAAGTAGGATCTTTTTAGGGAAGTTTAGTTAAGACGGTATTGATTGAAAGTGAATTTTCGCGGAAAAACGATATTTTGTGGACTTTATACGATATTTCCTTCATGGTTCCTCCAATCACCACTAACGAGCGATACATATTCAGAGTAAACTTCATACAATCGATAACCACTGGAAAGCAAACTTTACCATAGCGAAAACAACGAAAAGTTTGCCATTTGAAGAGAACAAGGAAAGACAATGACTGGACGAAATTGCCCCACTAGAACAGCACCGTACTTGAGAGAATATCTACCATAATTGGTCACCCTCTCATTCATAGCTCACACCACGCGTCGATGCACGTTGAATAGAAAATAACTGAGCTTTTGTGATTGTGAGAACGCACACTGCCCCAGGACTTCTTAAAGGTTGCTCACAAAGTTATGGATAAGTAGCTAGCGAGTGGAGCAACATGAACGACCCTCAACAACAATTTGAATCTAATATGCCGTTTACACATTGCTTTATATGGGAAATTCCAAAGCCAATGTGTATCTTGGGCTGTAGTCAATATTTATTCCAAGAATTCTCCTGAATTACGAGAATTATGCAAAAAAAAGCCTACTAGAAGTGTGAAAAGTCATGTTCAATAAGAAATGGTTTTCGATTTTGGCAGAGAGCCTGGCAAGTACGCTACTGACCCTAATGGAAGTTTGATATTCACCTTCGGAACACTCACAGAGTGATTTTAAGATTCTTTTCAGGCTCGCCTAA